AGGGCTGTGAGGAGGGGTCCTCCTCCCACCCCCACCAGTGCTGAAGGCCATGCCATCTGGAGGCTGGTGCCCTGCCCACAATTAGCCACATCCCAGAACTGCCTCCACGCTTGCCCACATCCACAAAGCCTCAGCTGGTCACCTGATGGGGGGTGGGGGGACCTCCACGTGCAGGAGACCCTTCTCTTCACAGATGTGACTGCCATCGGGCAGGGAGCAGGGCTGGGCTGTTGCTGTTGTCCAGGTCCTGGCAGCTGTCTGTGGCAGACTATGCCCCAGGGCTGTGGGCAAGGGGGTGCTTACAGCCAACGCGGGCCAGCTCTTTCACAGGCCAGGCCCACCACTGCACAAGAAAGATTGGCCATCACCTTCATTTTACAGACAGGGAAACTGAGGCCCACGTGCCCAAGGCTGCTCAGTCTGAACCCGCACGCGGATCTCAGAGGCTGAGCCTTCCCCGCCCACTCATGCCTCCCTAGGCTTGGTCTGAGAACAGCGCCCATTCTCCCGTGGGGTCCTCACTTGCTTTTCAAAAGCTAAGATGGGGAACAGATGTCACTGCACGACCACCCGCAACGCCTGCAGGGGAGGCGTGCCAGGAACCAGCAGCAAGTGGCGGTGCACAGGTGAGCCCCAAACAGCAGCATGGAAGCAAACAGGCTCTTACAGGGTTCCAGTATCTGCACCTTAACTGAATCTGCCAAAGCCAGAGTCAAGTTCAACATCAGGGCAGTGGGGGCCTCGGCCACCCCCAGCATGCTCAGCTGGGATTTCAGTGTGTGGCATTCTGAGCAATGACCCCACGGACATAAATAACGTCTAGCAGGCTTTGAGGCTGGACTTCAAAATGCTAATGGGTTTCATTTGTAAGAAAACATGTTGTCCATGAACTTCTCGTGTCCCTTTAATGGGAACCCTGGAAGCTGACCCCACAGCTGTTGAAGGGGGGGGAGGGAGAGAGAGAGAGAGAGAGAGAGAAAGAGAGAGAGAAGGAGAGAGAGACACTCCCCGGACCTGCTGAATCGGGGCCTGTGTTTTGACGAGCTGCCCAGGGGTTCCTGTGCACGTGTGGGCTCTGCAGTGAGGCAGGCCAGGCTGAGGCTGGACCCTGTCACCCCCAGTACTGATGCTGGTGCCTCTGTGGTCCAGCCTGCCCTGTCCAAGCCACCCCACTCGGACTACCCCTCCAGGGCAGTGTCTCAGCTACTGTAGTGGGTTGAATCGTGTCCCCTTAAATGATAGGTTCATGTCCTAACCCACAGTACCTGAGAATGTGATCTTTTCTGGAAACAAGGTCTTTGCAGATGTAATCAAGTTAGGATAAAGTCATACTGAATTACGGTGGGCCCTAAATAGAATGACTGCTGTCCTTATAAAAGGGGGTGAGGACACACAGAGACACACAATGAAGGAGGAGGCCATGTAAAGATGGAGGCAGAGGCTGGAGTGATGTGGCCACAAGCCAAGGACTGTCAGCAGCCACCAGAAGCTGGAAGGGGCAGGAACGACTCTCCCCTAGAGCTTTTAGAGGGAGCATGGCCCTGCCACACCTTGATTTTGGATTTCTTTTTTTTTTTTTTCCTTTTTGTCTTTTTTACTGACCGGTAACGGAATCGCAACCCTCGGTGTTGCACCCGCACCGCGCTCAGCCAGTGAGCGGGAACCGGTCTCCACATGGGATCCGAACCCTTGGCGGGAGTGCCGCCGCACTCCCAAGCGGCACACTCTCCAGTGCGCCACCGGGCTGGCCCTTGATTTTGGATTTCTGACCTTCAGAACCATGAGAGAAGAAACTTGTGTTGGTTTCAGCTACCTAGTCTGTGGTCCTTTGTTATGGCAGCTGCAGGGGACGAGCACAGCTATTAACTGGTCCTTGAGAACTGGCTGTTGTGTGCTCAGCCAGGCGCGTCTTCCGGCAGCGTGACGTGCTGCACATGACCCAGGGATGTCTCAAGACAAAGGCAAGCACAGAGGGGCTCTCATCTATGTGAAGCTCACAGACTGGGAGTGACCCAGCATAACACACCCACCTATGGCCCAGGTCACATCTGCACGGCTGGTGACCTCACGAGGCTGCCCTGTCATGGTCTGGAGGGGCTGGCATCCCCCCTGGGGACCTTCTTGTTGGTGTAACCCCTCCGCTCCCTCTGGCTCCCTCTGGTTCCTTTGCCTCCCTGTCCAGCCTTCAGAGCAGGGTTTCTTAACTGGGGGTGATTTTGGCCCCCAGGGACATTTGGTGATGTCTGAGGACATTATTGGTTTTCATGACTTATGGAGGTGCTACTGGCCAGGTACAGGCCAGGGATGCTGTTAAACATGAAGCGCTGATAGTGCTGAGGTAGAGAAGCCCTGCTTGTTAACAAGCAACGGCATTTGAGCATCCAATAGATTCTGTGGATTTTTCTCCCCAGGAAAGTGCACATAAACCCCAAACATTGCTCCCAATTGGGTCTGATTGTGCAATTGGGCTCTCTTGCAGGCTATTTTCCAAAATTGCAAACCCTTTCGCTCTTTGTAATCCGAGCACACCCCTGGGAAAGATTCTCCCTGAACTAGATACAACAGCAGCCGGCATCTGCTAATCACAAGGGCAGGGGCCCACGCACACCTCAGACGCAGCTCGTGCCCAGATGGCCTTTTAGTAGACTCTGGGACAGCAGGTGAAAGCCACAGGCTGCAGCCAGGGACGGCTCTTCCCTGCAACCTCGGGGTCTAGTTCATCTCAGATGAAAGCTCAGGGGTTTCTAGGAGGCCCTTGGAAAACACAGCTTAGGTGGTGAGCGTCTCCAGTAGGGAGGTGGGAGCAACTCGGTTCACCACTTTGAGAATATGAACTATCATGTCTACACCACAATCATGTTTTCACTTAAAAATGGCCAAAGCAACTGCTGCAAAGTCTCCTGTAGCTCTAGAGACACATTACCAAAGAAATTTTGGGGCCACTTATTAGAAAAACTGGGTCTTTTTTATGACAGTAACCCACATCCTTATGTTTGCTTTTTATTTCAAAGTCATGATCGAGAATATAAAGTTTCAAAAAGGATATGGATGAGGTAGTATTTGACTGAGCTCGGAAAGGTTCTTTTCTGCCTCTTTCTTGGGCACTGCTATGCCTATTTCAGTACGAGCAATAATATATGATGTAATATTAGCATCAGCCAGTAAGAATTCGCCACATGCTGAACTCTGAGTCAAGCACTTTGCAATGGTTACTCATGATAACTTGGTGATAAAAATACTATTCCCATCTCCACTTTACAGACTGGGAAACTGAGGCCTAACAGTTAAATAAGGATAGGTAGAAAGTCACGGATCTGGCTTGGGTCAGTTTGAATGATCAGACTTGGAGGTTCCTGCCAAGCACGAGATTTTAAAGTTGCAGTCAGGAGAGAAAGACATGGATAGAGAGTAAATCCCTTCGGGGGTAGACAAGGCACACTGGGCAGAGAGCAAAGTCGTGGCTCTCCACGCTTCAGCTGCCAGGGAGAGGCCTCTGCCACCGAGCCTGCCCGGCCTCTCCTGCCTCTGATGGAGCCAATCTGTTCCTCTGGTTATGAAATGGCATGCTGAAATAAACCCTGCATAGTAGCAGTATTGTTCGAAAAGCCATAAAGCTGGCTGGGCAGAACAATGCGAAAAGCCAGCAAGAATTGATCGCTTGTCTCTTCCAAGTGGCGCCTGCTCAGCTCCAAGACAAGGTGAGACCAGCCGCTGAAGGACCAGCAGATACCTGTTTCCTGGCTGCGGCCTCAAAGTCAGGGAGAAACACCTTGGATCTTTGTTAGGATCAAGTCTCTGCTTCCAAGTCCCTTCACACACCCTCGAAACTCCAGTGGGCACCATCCCTGCCACGGAACTCACAAACGCCTGCCAGGCGGCCCAACCTCCGGAAGGTCAATGGAGACCCGGAGAGATGCTCCAGTTGAACAAAATCCCTCAGCCCATCAGGTCAAGGTAGAAAAAGGCCTCCTTGAGCGTTCTGATTGTTTTCAGGGGAAGTAACTTGTCAACAGAGTTCACCATCCGGGTTCCCTAACTGACTATCTTTTTGGTATGAATACTCCCAGGCATTCTTATCACTGGACCCAAAGCATTCATTATTTAGGGACATGGCGGTTCCTGTTGAAATACCAAACCAATGCCAACTCTGTTTTAAACATTCACGGTTTTCTCAACAGCCCCTGAATTAACTGCCGACTACTTTTTCTGTTCAATGTCTTGCAGAGACTTTTGCTGATGCTTGATTAATGCGCGCAGTGACGGCTCTGCAGGCTAGGGGCCTTCCCCCCCCATATTCACGTAAGGAAGGGCACCCGTGCACAGAGACGTTGAGATGGCAGCTGGGGAGCACACAGCAATCAGCGGAGAAGTGGAGGGAGACACCACCGTGCCGGGGCTGCTGAGGTCATTCTCTGCACGCTGCTGCCCCTCGGCCACCAGGGCAGCCAGGTGTGCAAGGTGAGTCGACCTTCTGTTCTCCCCAGAAAACTCTCTCTTAGAAAGACCGTTAGGCTTTGCTAGGCAGAGGGGCTCCGGAAAACAGTGTCGCAGACTCATGGATTTCTGAGTACCAGGAGACCCGTGGGGGTCAGCTGGACCCATCTGTGCATTTTACAGAGTGAGAAACTGAGGCTCAAAGAAGGGCCAAGGTCATTAGGAAGAATCCCAGGAGAGCTTTGTCCTCTGTCCCTCTGAATGGGCAAATCTTCCCAGGAAAGAAACCGAACAGAGGCAGGAAATGCTTTGACCCTGCAGGTCATTACTGCGAAGGTCAGCCCCTCCCAGAGCAGATGTGGCCGGGAAGGGAGGTTTGGGGCTCCCCAAAGCCGCTTGGAAGCGATTTCTGCCCCACCTTCACATCAAGAGCAGCGTTTTCATCTGCACCTTCTCTAAGAACAGGTCAAGGCTAGAAAGAGACCCTCCCCCCCCCGCCTTCTGAAAGTGAGAACATCAGGCCCCGCACAGCCCAGCCCCACAAGCCAGCGACAGGGGCCACTCACGTCCTCGTCGCGCTCCAGCTCCAGGCCGGCCTCCAGCAGGTTGCCTTCGTATTCCTCCCTGCGGAACCACTTGTCGTCCTCGTGGTAGTCCATGGGCGGCTCGGGCGAGCCCGCTTCCACCGGCGCCCCCTTCCCGGGCAGGGGGTGGTCCTGCTTGAGGCTGCGCGCCCCCGGGGCTGTGTCGTGGTGCTGGACCCTCCTGGCCAGAGTCCTGCTGCCCGAGGGCCGCTTGTGGTGGTACACCAGGATGTAGTCCACCTTGCGCTTGCCGTCCCTGAAGTACAGGCCGTACTTGCATTCGGCATCGGGGTCCACAGACAAGGAGTTCAGCAGCTGGGGGGGAGCAAAGAGAAATCTGCTCTCTATGGAGTTGGCAGCGAGGGGCCTTCAGCTACTTGCTCACTCCACAAACACCGAATGCCCGCTGGGAGCTGGGCCCTGTGCTGGGACTGGGACACAGCCGTGGACACGGCAGCCAGGCCCTGCCTTCATGGAGCCAACACTCTCTAGAAGGAGACATTCGCTGCGAATCCCACACTGGTCACCCAGAAGGTCTCCTGGTCTAGAAGCCAGAACAGGCTGGATGGCAGGGACCTACCTGGCTGCTTGCAAAAGGCTACTACTGTAAAAGCTGCCAAATGAACTCCTCCCCCCGGAGGGCTCTTCCCACACGTTGCCAGGGTCTCAGGCAGAGCAGAGCAGAGCTCAGATTCTGTGTCTGCAGATCTCAACCTTTGATGGCTGGTGTCTGAGGCGGCCACAGGGTCACTAACTAGCTGTGTGGCCAGAGGCGAGGCTCTCACTGTCTTAGCCTGGGTTCTCCCAAAGATGGGGAGGGGGGAGGCTAATTGAGGGTGAGTTACTGAGTGATCACTGCTGTATGCAGCTGGGCTCCCTCCAGCTGGGGACCCTCGGAGGGGCCTTGAGGAGCACACCCCAGAGCTGGTATCTGAGAGTGGGGAAGCTGGGTGCTCCGTCCCTCTGGGGGTTGTTCTTGGGGCACCAGAGCCTGCAGGGGAGCATGCCTTTGGGCAGAAAGGGTCTCAGAACCACTGGCATGGACGGCACCATCTGCAGGTGCGCTGGGGTGGCCAAGCTGGGATGGGCAGGGCTCCAACAGGGTCTGCCCTGTCTTGGTCCCTAATTTGCCTGAAGGACTACAGGGGCCACTGGATAGAAGTGTGGAATGGCTGGTTTTAAAAGTCAGATGTTCACACAGTTGCAGTGAGGTATCGCTGCTGCCATAGCCAAATCTGAATTGAGGGCAGATAGGTCAATCAGCACACTGGGCTTCAGAAATAAGAAAAAATAGATAAAACCATGCTGGATGCAGCTTAATGAGCAACTCCAAACCATCAGTGGTCTTCAAAGCTGGGCCTCAGCCCCTGACATGACCACCTGGTTTCAATCTCAAGTTCCTGTGGCTACACACAGACACTTCCCATGCCCAGTCAGTCCATGAGATAATTGTTATCAGTTCTTGGGTCAGCAGAGAGCAAGGTCCTCCCCTGTGCAGCATGAGGTGCAAGGCAGGGCCCCAAACACCCGTGGCCATCAGAGAGCTTCTCTCGGGCCTTGCCGGCCTGGAAAGTCTCCTCATGTGGTCGCCTGAGCCCTAGGATGGCTCCTGGCTGCACTGTGACTCTAAAGGGCTGAGCATTTGGTCGGAGAAGCAGCTCAGCTTCCCTGTCCCCAGAATGTGGCCTCCAGGAGACAGCACTGTTCACAGCCTGGCAGGGCACAGTCAGCAGCTGGAGCTGGCAGGAGGCTGAGCCTGAGCAACAATTGCCATCTACAGTGACACAGGGTCCAGCCTGCCTTGGGACCATCAGGAAGCCCTGGACATGGCGTGATGCTCCGCCTGGCCTGCTCCCACAGATCTCCCTCCTGCTTGCTGTGACAGAGCCTTCTGGGTTCTGACAGCCAGGTGGGTGGCTTTAGGTGGGGGCCAGGGTGCAGGGTTGGGGCAGAGCTGGCTGTTGAGGGGAGTGGGAGTCACACATCCAGCCCAGTAAAGTACAGAGTTCACAGAAGACCCCAGAATCTCACAGGCAGAGCTGGCTGTTGAGGGGAGTGGGAGTCACACATCCAGCCCAGTAAAGTACAGAGTTCCCAGAATCTCACTTCTGCTACCAACATGGTGCTTTTTTGTTCATGTCAGGGGAAACTGAGGCCCGTCGAAGTGAGGAGGCCCTGAGTTCAAGGGCAGGTGAGAGGCTGAGCCTGCCTCAAATCCCGTCTACACTTAATTAGCTCTATTTGACCTGGAGGAGACAGAGGCTCACGTGGGCCAGGCAGTCAGCAACAGCTGCTCACATAGTGGCTCGGGGCACCCAATTCCCACTACCTGACCCCAACGCCAGGCTCTGCCTCTGGTGCTGAAAGACACAGGCAGAGTGCAGCCATTGCAGGCCTCCATTCTGCCCCCACCTGCTCCCAGAGCCAGCATGGGGGAGAGGCTAAGTAGGGCAGGGTGGACAGCAGGTGATCCAGGCCAGTGGGGACGTCTGGGACAATGCAGGCCGCAGGCGCATCTGGGACGATGGTATGAGGGCAGTGGGTGAGTGCCGAGCAGCACAGAGCAGTGGCTTCACTGCAGGCCCTGCAGTCTGCCAGCCCTGGGCTTGGTCCTTCTCCTGCTTGGAGGCCTGGGGGAGGTCCCCATCCCTCTGAGCCTCAGGGTCTGCCTGTGTAAAATGGAGACGATAACACAGGCTGCCTCCCGGCGACCAGGAGCATTAACTGAGCTAACGATTGCCTCTGCTGAGCCCAGCACACGCCGGTCCAGAACGTGCTGGGGACGGACGCTCCATCCATTCCAGAGACAGACGCCTGGGCCGTCCTGTCACCCTGCCCTCCATCCCTGCCAACAGCAGATGCTCATTCTCATCTCAGGAAGGTCAGACAAGTGCAGGGCGGACAGCTGGCAGCTGAGGTGCTTTTCTCGCCTCACCACAGAGTGGGCAGAAGAGCCAGACCCGAAGGCTGCCCTTGGAGGATCCAGGCCATGCAACGGGGAATGAAGCCACTGCCCAGCAGGGTGAGAGAGTGGCGGCTGCTCAGACCTAGGGAGACCCAAGGTCTCCGGGGATGGAGGGCACACCAGCCTGCTCAGCGTCTGCAGCACTTCAGATGCTCAGCGTTTCTACAAGGGGCTCATCCCTACTCTCCAAATGGGGAATTGTGCTCCCACCAGGCCCAGCCTGCCTGTGTAGTAGCTCCCCAGGGCTTGGACTGCTCGTCCTCGTCTCCTCCCTGAGCTGCCCTCTCCAGCTTCCTCCCCCCCCCCTTGCCTTTGCACAGGCTGAGTCCCCGCCCTGCATGCCTTCCCTGTCCTTCTCAGCTGTTTGTAATCCCACCTGGTTTTAAGGGCACGGGCAAACCCCCAACTTTCCTCTGGGATCTGAAGGTGGCTGACCCTGGCCCACGCAGGTCTCCATGTGCTGGGACTGCCTCTGAACCATCTACCTACAAGTTCTTAACTTGCAGTGGCCCCAAAACTGGATGGCAGGACCCCTGAGGCCTGGCCAGGGACTGCCCCTCATTGCCCCTCATACACCTCCATCCAGAATCCCGTACCGTGGGGCTTGGCATCTGGTGGGGACCTGGCACCTGGTTGGCAGGGAAAATGGCTAATATAGAACAAGGTGGGGCAAAAAAGGGGAATGGGAGAGAAATTCAGAGTAATCCCTTCAAGCTGGAGAGCAGGGAAATTAGCCTAGGGAGTGGCTAAAAATTCTCTATCCAGGTGAGACAGGAAAGGTTACCAGGTTCAATAGGAAACACGACCACCTGTCCACTGGCTGATCAACAGGGTGACTGGCCCTGAACACGCCTACCCTCAGGGGCCTGACAGTCCTCACGAGAAACATCACCTAACACCGAGAGTGGACCTCCTCCTGCTGTGTTCAAAGACCAGTTCTGCCACTCACTAGATGTGTTACCCCAGGCACAGAGCTTAACCTCTGTGTCCTGCGTCCCTAAGACCTTCCTCATGTAATACGACTTCCCTCATAGGGTTGTCAGAAGGATTAAATGTGTTAATATATGCAAAGAGTTTACTAAATGGCCTGGCATACAGTGAATCCTCAAAAGAAGTCTGCTCTAATTGGGAGTTGAGATACATGCACAAATAAAGAACTAGGGAAAGACGGAAAAAATAATCTCATGGTCAGAGTGGACCACAAGTGAAAGAAGTTGGCAGTGCAAAAATCAGATTTTAAAAAGTTACAAACGGAGCTGGATGTGATGCTGAGACCACAGCAGGGGGCGGCACCAAGCAGTGGTGCAAGAGTCCCAGGGCCTGGCCCCGTCACTCATTAGCTGTGTGATCCTGGGTAAGCTGCTCTGTCTGTTGAGGTCTTAGTTTTACAAAATGGGAATAAGACTTCACAACCTTTAAACAGCAAGTGTGGGCTCTCTCCTCATTATTCTCTACATGGACTGGGAGGACCCCAGGGTCTGAAGAGCAATTCTGTGTTGGGCTTAGGCCCTGTGATGCTGAGGCCTTTCCTGGGGCAGTGGAATGGGTGTCTTTCTTACGTAAAACAGGACATAAGGGAAAAGATTTAAATTGCAGTGGAAGGGATGTGGTTTAGCCTGAATGCATAACTTCCCAATTCAAATGCTTCGGGAAAACTTGAGAATATTCTCTTTTTCCATATCCTTAAGAAAGGGGCAGGCAACTCCTCCGTGCACCTCTGTGGGGGGCAGGGGATATCTGATTCATCCTGTTAGTGGTTGGCACTGCGTACCTGGTGGTGGAACGAACGATGCATAAATGAATGACAGAGGTGGGGGTCTCACATGCTGTTGCTGGTAGTGGCTATCAGATCCACAGTGCAGAAGCTGAGACCAGCCAGGCCAGCGACTTAAACCCAGCACCCCCAACTCCGAGCCTCCGTTTTTCTCATCTGTGAGATGTGGACAAAAACATCTCCTTGACTTAGGTCATAGGATTCTTGTGGGGATAAAATGTGACTGAAGATCTGCAGGAATTTTGAAGATTACCCCCTGAGTGTCTGAGCGGAAGGAAGATGGGGAAGTGGTGGGAGAGAAATGCCTCCCTGAGGTCCCATGGGAAAGTGTCAGGGAACGAAGTTCCCCTTCACCGCAGGAGCACCCTGGTGGCCCTGTTCCAGGCAGCCTATAGCTGGTCCACACCTGCCTCTCCAAATCCCCTCCCCAAACTTCGGGAAAAGGACAGAAGAGCCTGATGGGACCCTGTGACCACCCCTGGAACATTGTCCGGGGACCCAGTGCATTCATTTACTGACCTCTTCTTACCTGCAGTTGGAGCTCCAGGAACTGAATTCACACATCCGTAT